TATATTGCACAAAGGTTTGTTGGGCGAACCCATAGTGTTATGGATACTTGCGATTACTCATCCCTATTTGTTTTTGTTTTTGGAATGTTTGGTCATATTGCTCTTTGCCCTTCCTTCCGGGATTGTCATTGGAATCCGTACTGCAAGAATACTTCTGCTACCGTTGATACTTACATTCTGAAGTAAGCGAGTATAGTCACGACACTCAACCATATACACTCATATAAATGCCACAGATGTGTTCTCATGATTGGGCTCCCATTCCCGAATAAGAACTCACCCGAACTGAAAGAAAGGATGCAGCATTTAGATAGCGCAAACAAGGTGAGTGCTTGAAGTGTGATAGATTTTATCGAGCTGATCTGTGTGCGTTGTCTGATTTATAAATCAATAGCTTCCTGTACTGGTTAACAGTGGGAAGTACATAGATGTCTTAGCTGTCTTTGTAATGTGCAACACTCTCATTGCCACTGTTTACACAAATAATGTGTAAGTATCTTACTGTTTCTTATGTACACTATGTGTATAATGTCAAACAAATGTTGATGATGAGATATTCTAATACTATGTGGCATACGCACTTGTCGATATTTACGCACTGTTGAGAATGTATGATGTACACTGTAGCCAGGCCTCCTGTTCTCTTGTATAGAAGATATCTGATTCTGGCACACTATGGGCGACGCCATCATCGACTTCAATGATGTTCTAATATGTATCTCAGGGATGCAACGCCGGTAGTCAATACTACACCAGTCTATGCATGAGGGCAGTGAACCAGTGCATAGGGAGGGCAATTCGACATAAAGACGATTATGCAGGTATCGTCCTAGTCGATGATCGATACCGCAAACTAGAAGTACAGCGAGATTTACCGAATTGGATACGACAGCGTACATTCTCATGTCCTACGTACGGCTACTTTTTCCAGAATCTTGCGAAGGTATGTGGGGGTCTGATGTCGGTAGATATGGTGTTCATATGCGTCACTTACATGTGCTACTGTCAAAACTCCGTTACAGTGTTCATATTTTTATTATTTCAAAAACGCTTTAAGAGAACAAGATGTGGATATCACGTGAGTTTTGCAAAGTGAAAGCCAGTGCGAGTCAGTGTTCGCATGGGTATAAGTGGAACTGTCGTGTTTATCATATATCAGCAAGAAGTCAAGTACAACTTAATTTAAACTTTAGTCGTTGGAAAGTTTACGTTTTTTAAACTGTTATGAAGTATATTCGCCATGGCACCACCTATATGCTTTCGATGAGACTTGCATGCAAGAGTGTGCACTATAAAAGCTGAATATTATATGCCAATCACCCAGCAACACACAGCAATAATTGGGATAAAATTTAAGGTATACAACAGTACGTACAGTATTCATACCAGATGTTTCAAGTGTGATTTAATTTCTAACCCCCTAGTTTCATTAGAAGTCGAGGCTGTTTGATCCGATCATAAAAATTAAATTCTCATTCCTCTTTGCATGTCCCACGCTTTGTCTAAACTTGGGTGTTAAATACCCAAACAGTTCTGTAGCAAGATGGCAGGGATGGGTGTCAATTCGACCACCCAAACAGAAGCATAAATGAACGATAACACCGTAGGTGCTATCATTTTTCAAATTTCATGCATACCCCCCCTCCGAACTTGCCCACCCGCGTCTGTGCTGCCGCCTGGTGCTGCAGTTGAATAGGAAGTACATAGTAGTTGGACAGTTGAGACTGTGAGAAATAAAATACAAGGTGACATGCGGGAGTGGAGGTTGTTAAAGTAGTCATTAAAAGTTGGGCTCAAGACTGGTCACCACAAAATACAATGAAGCGTGAGTTCGACGTAGTAAAGTTGATATTGTTCCGGCTGGCCCTGGCTTGTACTGGATATTATATATATATACACATATACACATACATACATACATACATACATGGATATACATATACATATACATACATACATATATATATATATATATATATATATATATATATATATATATATATATATATATATATATATATATATATATATATATATATATATATATATATATATATATATATATATATATA